CATCACATGACCATGTTACATACAATGGTCACACCATGTTTGTCCCCTCTTGGATTTGTTACTCTGAAAGTTAATTTGAGTATACAAGGCAAAGTCCTCAACAGATGGTGTGTTGTGATTGTTTAGGTTTTAAACTTTATGCTCTCATCTTTTTAAACTTCTGCAAAGGCTTCTCAAGTGGCATGAATGGGTTTAATTACCATTGTTCTCCTCCTAAGTTCATCTAAGTTTTTAGTTAGTTCATGGAAAAATTTGATAGTTCTTTTTTGTTTTCTAATTCTCTTATACGATAAAGTTATCAGAGCATTTTCAAGAACGAACCTCGTACATGTCCAGTTGCAACCAACAAGAGAGAGTGTTGAGATATTGAATAACACTCATTCTCCATGATATAGTTTATGTAGTATGGTCTCAATCTCAAATACCTATTAGGAGTTTTAGTGCTAGAGTAAGTTTCATGTGCGACCTCCCATATCTCTTTAGCTGTCCTATAAAGTAGGAAGTTTTCTTCAATTTTCGTGGTCATGGACTTTAATAACCATGACATAACAGTGTGGTCAGTTTCTAAGCTCGATGTTTGGAATCAATCATTTTTGGAGTTTTCCTGTGAGATGTTACTTTCATCTGCAACATATGTACATGAGGATTGACTGACCATTGAAGAAATTATAGCCATGCCTTCTCTGGTTCGTGGCCACGTGAGAGAAGTTTTCAAGTTTGGTAGCTGAAGATATAGGCTCGGATCTTGATGTAACTTTTGAGGAAGAATATTGTGATGCATGCCTGTTTGACCATGATAAGATTGTGAAGTTTGAATTAAGAAGAATAATTGCTGGAACAAAAAACTAGCGGATTTTTAGTATTGACTGTTCATTTGGAGTAGTGAACATAAAATAAAGGGTGATGCACAACTCTCGATTTCCAAGCGTTTGACATGATGTGAGGTCGGGTGGTTTGCAAGTCGATGAATCTTGATGTGGAGGCTAGGGCAAGCCGAATCGTTTGCAGACTGAAGCAACAATTGCGTTATGAGAGGATGAGACGATAAGACCATCTGCTGAAATAGAGGAATTTAAACAGATCTTTGATGCACGAACGAAATGATATGTGAGGCATGAACCTAAGGATTTGAAAGACAACAGTGTTGCATAAGGACATTGACCAAAAGACATTTATCCAAGTCATTTAAGCGGTAATGCATATTTGTGCCTACGTCAAACCCATTCGAAAGAATCGGTGATTCATCCGGTAACTACTCTATTCCTAGTAGTTCGTTGTCTGGCTAATACTACCACCGTCTAAAGTTGAGCCACCCATCTTAACTCCTATTAGGATCTATACTTCTAGGATGCTTGATTTCCATCTTTTCTATAGTCAAGTGTAATATATTTGTTATGGAACACTGTCACTTGATTGATGCATTAATGAGATGTTGTTCAAACTTAATGTAAACACTGACACTTGATTGATGCATTAATGAGATGTTGTTCAAACTTAATGTAAACACTGACACTTGATTGATGCATTAATGAGATGTTGTTCAAACTTAATGTAATGCAATCAATTGCAGGCAATTCCTGTGTTTTGTAAGGCTACTGCTCATCGGCAATATGGAGATGGCTAGCTGCCTCTCTTATAGTATATTTTTAAAGTCATATAAACTTCAATATTAGAATACTGTCACTTGATTGTTATGGAACACTGTCACTTGATTGATGCATTAATGAGATGTTGTTCAAACTTGATGTAAACACTGACACTTGATTGATGCATTAATGAGATGTTGTTCAAATTTATTGTAATGCAATCAATTGCAGGCAATTCCTGTGTTTTGTAAGGCTACTGCTCATCGGCAATATGGAGATGGCTAGCTGCCTCTCTTATAGTATATTTTTAAAGTCATATAAACTTCAATATTAGAATACAAAGTTACATGTCACTTGATTGTTATGGAACACTGTCACTTGATTGATGCATTAATGAGATGTTGTTCAAACTTGATGTAAACACTGACACTTGATTGATGCATTAATGAGATGTTGTTCAAATTTATTGTAATGCAATCAATTGCAGGCAATTCCTGTGTTTTGTAAGGCTACTGCTCATCGGCAGTATGGAGATGGCTAGCTGCCTCTCTTATAGTATATTTTTAAAGTCATATAAACTTCAATATTAGAATACAAAGTTACAAACTCAACATTGTAAAATTCAGAACATTTGATATTAAGGTCAATTATCATATATGGGTGTGTTTTTCAGTGAGACCCATTTAAGTTTTCACTAGATTGATGTACTTCTAGTAGCACTTGATCCACAATTTTCATTTAAGGTGTATCATAACGTCTCACTCTATTTACGTATCTCTTTCGACCATTCCTATGGAAAAGAAGTAATCTAGCGATAAAAAATAGTAGAATTATATGATAAAATTTAATATAAAATAAGTTACATACATACTATTTTATGGGTTATTTGTAAAATACAATAAGTGGCACTGTTATGGCTTGTAAGTTCGCATAACCCACATATTTCACTAGTATTCTCTCTATGCTTGTTTTACTAACTATTCAACCACCATAAATGCTAATAAGAATAGTCTAAAATTCACATTGATGCTAATGACATTTATATGTACTTTCTTATAGAAATATGGAATCTGTACTGGGAGGATATGATAGAATTTTTAACGAGAAATGCACGGCTCAAATGCACAAAACATACTTTGAAAATTCCATACTTGTACTAGCTTATATTTTGTAAATACTGACATGCCCTACATGATTGATAGTGTGTCTGATAAAAGTCCTTATAATTAGCAAATACTAGTTTAATGCCTTTTTTTGTGCATTCCATGCTTTGATATTAGAAACCCTAATATTAATGTCTTTATGCGCCCCGTGATTTTCTTGGGTTTGAGATTGGCATATCACTAGAGCAATATGGTTACATATAAACTTAGATGTACAATTTCATTGACCAACATACATTATAAGATGCATGCATCTGCCCATTCTTGATATCCTTTAGGCCCCACCTACTTGCTGGCTTGTAAAATGCTTGTGGGTGTTTGTTATGTGGATGTAAGGATTTTTGTTCTTGTTAATTTCCTATTTGAAGTATGTTTTTTATATTCAAATTATTGATATGCCAACCATTTAATGAAAATTGAACCTTATCATTATATAAATAATATCGTACAAAGTATAGATCATTTGGATTTATTTCCCTTTGTGCTGTTGTTCACTAAACTTTTGTACCATCACATACGTCATTAGCATCTCACTCTGTGCTATGTGAATTTCTCGGACAGTGTTATTATTAGATTGCATTGCATCAACTACTTCAACATTGATCAATGCATGTTTGCGTGTTAACTCATGCTTGACAATTTGACGAACTTTTGATTCAACTTTGATAGCATCACATCAACCTCTTCATTTATTGAATCTTTGACTCGAGCCACTATCTATGGTCTCATATGCTTTCACATGAGGTTCTAACTGTGCATTCAATCGTGGTAGGTATTCTGTCAGTTTTACATCAATGTTCTTGAACAATATAAAGATTGACATCAATATTCTTGAACAATATAAGATTGGTGCCCGATATAAGATTGCTTGTGATAGTTTTCTTTTGAATAATCAGAAGTGCAATCCAAGACATAGTTTTGGGTTTGCAAATAGTAAATTTGATATCTCAATTCAATCAATTCAATTTTAGTGTTATTAAAATAATGTATGTGCATCTCATTAATCTATAGATTTGTGTATTCTCTGCCCTGGCCAGCACAATAGAAGGTCTTGAGATACAGCATTGACATTATTATTTTCTACTAGAACTCTAAAAACTTTTACATCCATGATTAAAGTTTGTTGGCTACTCTCCTATAATAATATCTCACAAACTTCATTATTTGTAATACGTTTCACCAAAAAATATCTCAACTGGATATGATGTATTAAGTTAACTGTATTAGATGACCATCATAGCGTAACACTAGTAAAATTTTAAGTTAGAGATTTTCTGTAGATGTTGGATTTGAAATTTAAATAGTTATGATTTGCTTGTTAGCATATGTAAATGTGAAGTCCGCTGTTGTTTTTCCATCAATAAATAACATCAAGTGTCAAACTCACCTGCTCATCATAGTCATTTTTCTTGCATACACTACTACAAACTAATTTATTAATGTCATTCTTATTATTGTCTAGAAATATGTTTTGTAATATACAAAATTTAATATGCTAACCTAAAAAAATTCTATAACTATTAAAATAAAATTGGAAAAGCTACAAAAAAATAAAATAAAATTATCATTAATATAGAACAATACTGATTAGTGAAGGCGGGGAAAAAATTCCCAAATAATTATAAACTTTAGAGTTGGCTTAATTCTAACTATTATAATGCTTACAAAATACAACAAAAATTTAAGAAAAAATGAAGATTTGGTAAAAGAAATTGTATACGGGATGATCGAGAGCTAAATGGAATAAATGAAGATTTGGAGGTTTAAGGGAGTTATACATGTAGAACAACTGATAATGCAGCTCCCCTGCTAAAAGTGCGTTTTGATCCATCTTAAAAATTTTTTTGATCCCACTCCACCTGCTTATTTGAGTTTCTCAGCCACTCATTATATTTTGTAAAAATTTAACTTGGTTGTTGAAAGATCTTGTGATTTTTGTGATTATATATATTTTAGGAAAAGCTGATGAGGATCTTCCTTTTAAGGATGTTGATAGCTGGAATGACCAAGCTTTCTTGGTTGCATATTTATGATTTGTTAAAATTGTCTTTTTCTTCAAGTGTTCTCGAGTATGCTTGGCATATAAATATATGGATATCATGTTCCGAGTTTATCTGGCTCATATGGTTTTTATTTACATGCTTTTCAAGTGATAAGATCTGACAAATTAAGAATGCAATTAACAGTAAAAGAAAGCCACTGTTATCATTTAAACTATCTAACAATGCTGTTTTTGTGATTAAATGTTTAGGCCGAGCATGATGAGCTTGAGGCTAAATTTTATGAGGAAAGAGCAGCCCTTGAGGCCAAATACCAAAAGCTTTATGAGCCTCTATACACCAAGGTGAGTTTTTTATTTTTCACATTTTCATGTACCCTGCTGTAATATTTGTTGTTTTAATGACTTCGGGTTGGGTAACATATGTGTGCATGCAGAGGTATGAGATTGTAAATGGTGTGGTTGAAGTTGAGGGTGTTGCTGATGACCTTGCAGAGGATGCCGCTGAGGATAAAGCAAATGAAGGTTTATCTATCTTTTTATCCTTGTTCTGAAATTCTACGTCTTCTCCACATTTCTGTGCTGATCTGCTTGTTTTGATCTCAGGAAAAGGTGTGCCTGAGTTTTGGCTCACGGCATTGAAAACCAACGAAGTTTTATCTGAAGAGGTTGGTGAAATGTGGCAGGATCTTTTGTATCTCTTTTTATAAATGTTTTATTATTTAATTACAAATTGTCTACTTTGGCAATGAGATCAGATTCATGAGCGTGATGAGGATGCTCTGAAATATCTTAGAGATATTAAGTGGTCCAAGCTTGATGATCCAAAGGGGTTTAAGCTCGAATTCTTCTTCAATTCCAATCCTTATTTCAAGAATTCTGTTCTAACCAAAACATATCACATGATTGATGACGACGAACCTATTCTAGAGAAAGCTATAGGGTATGCAGTTTATATATAATATTTAGTAGGTCGTTAACGCTTAATACTGCTTTATTCAACACTGTTAATGTGGTTTTACGTAATATATCTATTGCAGGACTGAAATTGAATGGCTACCAGGAAAATGTTTGACTCAGAAAATTCTCAAAAAGAAGCCAAAGAAAGGATCTAAGAACACCAAACCAATAACAAAAACCGAATCATGCGAGAGTTTTTTCAATTTCTTCAGTCCTCCCCAAGTCCCTGATGATGATGAAGAAATTGAAGAAGAGGCTGTATGTTACCATCCAACTAATATATTCTGGCAATATTGAAACATCAAAACAGGATAAATAAAGGTACTAACTTTTATTTACAAAATTATTTTTTGACAGGCTGAACAGCTACAGGACCTGATGGAGCAAGACTACGACATTGGGTGAGCCATTTTCCTTGTTACTACTGTTTTTTTTTTTTTTTTAACCAAGCAGCAACTTAGCCACTTGGTAGGAAATTCTGTAATCATTTTTGCTAGAAAAGTTCCGATGAATCTGCTAATAATTCACCTGCTGTGAAAAAAATGATTTATGGGACCAAGTTCATTGTTCAATTATTTGGGTGCAGTTCCACTATTCGGGATAAGATCATCCCCCATGCTGTCTCATGGTTCACTGGAGAGGCAGCTCATGAAGAGGATTTTGAAGATATGGCAGAAGATGATGATGAAGGGGATGAAGATGAGGATGATGAGGAAGAAGAGGATGAAGAAGAGGAAGAGGAAGAGGAAGAGGAAGCCAGAACGAGGAAGAAGGTGACTTTTCTCTTTTAATTCTCCTTTTTATTGTTTTTTTTTTTTATTTTTTTGAAGTTGAAAGCTGACTTGTTTCTTGTTGTGTTTGACCTGAGTAGCCTGCAGCTGGGCGTAAGGTACTGTCAATTATCTAAATCCCCTAAACGCTTGGTATCATTATATTTACAGAAAATCTTTGTATTGTGTGATTTTTGTGTTCTTTTTGGTCTGAAATTGCAGAAGACTGGAGGAAATGCTCAGCAAGTTGATAGGCCTCCTGAATGCAAACAGCAGTAATCTATCATCAGCATCGTGTTGTTTTTACAAATATGTTCAATTTATTGGTCAAGTGAACTTTATCCTATTGTTTAATATCTTGGTATTATGTGTGCTAGTTTTTTTGAATTGAAAATATACTTGAAATACTTCAATTCTTTTCCGTAATATAGTTTTCCTGTTTGAAATTTTGGATAGATAAGAGTGCAAAACTCTGTTTCTCATTTGTTTTATATTTAAATTTTGTTTTTTATCGTGTTGACGTCGAAGGTTTTATATTTGCCAAGCTTTTCCTTTGAAAATTGCATATATGTTCGTAACGTCGAAAGACTGCATTTACCAATATATATATATATATATATATATA